CATTATTCTTGACTGTTCGAAGCTCCAAGTTGTTACTGTCCACCCAGTCTCCTGAGACTTGCACTTGTTGGGTTACTTTCATTTATTTTATGGGCTTCTTACCAATTAGAAAATCTAACAGATTTTAGCTTCCTATTTTTTGGTACTCAGAGGTGGACATGTTTCCTATCCAACATGCATAATGATGAGTCCCAAGGAATGTGGTATTGTACAAAAATCACAAAGGTAATTTGTTATAACCAGACAGCCTGTAAAAAATTTGTAAGAAACAACCGTAATCGAAGTTGCACCCTGAGGGTAGCTGCTGGAACTTCAAAATTTCTATGAGGTTCATTGTAACAAAAATCTAAATCTGAATAGGAGAATTGCCTTCGGAGAAAACGAGAATTTCTTGCATGTGGGAAAAAAAATCCAAATCTGGTCTGAAAAATCGATTGTATCCGAACTGAAAGGAACCTATCCTTGTATTCTGTTTGTTGATGGGAAGTCCTGTGATTGGTTGAATTTCTGAGGGAAACCAAAGAGAAATAGCTTCCTTTGTTTTGGAATTCAATATTTCTCACATGTGGATAGAAAGTCTCCTACATGTTCATTCAATATACCTTATATCAAAATGGGAAGTCACACGGACCAATTGAAGTCTTCCATAAACGAACAGGACTCGGCTACAGTTTATTTCCTATGAAAACCACTTATAACTCAAATCAAAAAGCCCAGATATGAGCCAAGAATCCCTTACAACAGAAAAAAGCCTTTATATTGGACCAAAAAACCCTGTGTATCTGAATCAAAAAAGCTCATGAATCTGAGCCGAAAAATCCCTTACATCTGAACCAAAAAAATCCCTTGCAAACGAACCAAAATATCATGCATACCCGAACCAAATCCATATCCAAGCAGAAAACTCCAGATATCAGAACTGGAAATTCCGTATATCTGATCAGAAACTCCCTATTATTGAAAAGAAATTGTCGTACCTTATACAGTATTGGGGCATAAAATACCATAAACATGGACTGTTCTGGGAAATGAAACTCTTATATCGGGAGAGGAAAATCCCCTATGATAATGAAATCTATTGAAGCGGGGAGAAAAAATCCCTTACATTCAACTGGAGAATTGCAGACCTTAGTGGAAAGTATTTGTAACCGGTCATAAGCCCGCTACATCTAAACAGAGAACTCTATGTGTGAAGTAAAAACGCGTAAATGTGAAGAGAGAATCTGTTGATGTGTTGAGAAAATAACTTCTGATGAATGAACTGTAAAGACCCTTATGGGCGATCATGAAATGTAATCCCCGTTATTTCGTATCCCAGAAATTCGCAATTTTTATACCAATAAATATCCAGCAAGGAAAAATACTTGCAACGGGAAAGAAAAATTCCTTTTACTTGGAAAGAAAATTACGGATATTAGAACGGAAAGTCTCTAATCTCAGTGGAAATCATTTCATTCTGGTCAGAAAATCTGTTATATTTGAGCAGGAAACCCTTGTGAGCAAAAAAATCCCTTCGCTTGTCTGACTCTGAACTGATAGATCTGTTTTGATTTCTGAACTGGAAAATTCTTCATGACGATCTTGCCAAAAGTCTCATGAATGAACCATAACATCCGCCACGTCTGAACCGAAAACCTCTTAATATCTGAACGGGAAACAGAATATTCTGGAATAATCCCTTTTACTGTATTGGGAAAGAAGAATCCCTCATATCGGAAAATGATAGTAAACCCCTTGGGTTAAAATGGAAGGTCATATCACAGTGGGAATCATTACTTCTGGTCAGAAAATCTGTTATATCTGAGGGAACCTCTTATAGCTGAAAAGAGTACCACGTATATATGAAAAGAGAACCCTTTTACCGTATATTGGTGCGGAAAGCACCTATGTGTGAACAGAAAAATCAATGTTGTGGGAGCAAAGATTCCCTCTTGCCTTGGATCTAAAAAAACACTTTCTGAACCAAAAAATCTCCCTGATGTCTGAACCAAAACATCCCTGTGATGTATAAGCGGAAAATTCCCTTCTGATGTCTGAACTGCGATGATGTGTGACCATAAAATTCTCTTATGACCATCTTGAACCGAAAAAGACGTCACATAGCCACAAAATCTCTCCTTCGAACCAAAAACGCCCTTCATAACTGAAGAGGCAACATAATATTCAAAAAATTGCACACGTCGGGAAAGGAAAATCCCTTACGTCCGCGAAGAAAAATCCGTTACTGTGCATGGGAATGGAAAGTCGCAAATCTCAGTGGAAATAATTTTTAATTGGTCAGAAAATGTCGGTATATCTGAGCAGAGAACCCCTTACGATGCTCGAACAGAAAATCCCCTCCAATGCCTGAACATGAAAATCCCCTCTGATTTCTGAAACTGAGAATTCCCTCTGATGTCTGAAGTGAAGAATCCCTCCTGTCTTATTTTAACGAAAACTCCTGTATATCTGAAGGGGTAACAGAATATCAGGAAAGAAAAATATCTTGAAATCGGAAGGATCCATATGCAATATTGTAAAGCGAAAGAGAAATCTAATATATCCGGACGGAAAATGCCCTGGAACAGTAGGGTTTTGGGAAAGAAAAATCCCTTATGTTAAGGCAGTGTATATTTAATGGGGAGGGAACATTTTTTTTTACATTGAAATGAAAGGTCACTACATCTCAGTGGAGATCATTGAAAGTGAGTCAGAGAACCACTTGAAGCTGATAGGGGAACCCCTTATATCCGAACGTCAAATAACCTTCCTGTGAAGAGAAAAAATCAGTTCGTCAGAACGAAAATTACTTCCGGCTTTGGCACTGAGAAAGACTTTCTAATAATGAAAAATATCCCTTATGTCTGAACCGAAACAACCCTCTATAAGTCTATATGATCTAAAAAATTCCTTCTGACAATCTTGAATTAAAAAAGCCGTCATATATCAACCAAAAATCGTTATGAATGAGCAAAAACATCTGCCACATCTGAACTGATCAATCTCTATCTGAACTGGAAACCCCTTCATGTCTGAAGAGGCAAAAGAATACTGTATTCAGGAAAAAATAATGGAATTCTGAAGGCTAAAATCTCTTTGATTCGACTGAAGAATGACAGATCTCAGTGGAAATCACGTATTACTGGTTATAAATCCATTATCTGAACAGAGAACGACTTATATGTGAAAAGAAAATTTCGTAATTGTGGAGATAAAATACAGTACCTTGAATGTGAAGAGTAAAAACCTTTTGAATGCGAAGCATACTCTGAAGTCTGATTTGATAAATCCCCTCTGAAGTCTGAATTGATAAATCCCCTATTCCCCTCAGAAGTCTGAATTGATAAAAATCCCCTCTGAAGTCTGAATTGATAAATCCCCTCTGAAGTCTGAATTGATAAATCCCCTCTGAAGTCTGAATTGATAAATCCCCTCTGAAGTCTGAATTGATAAATCCCCTCTGAAGTCGGAATTGATAAATCCCCTCTGAATTCTGAATTGAGAAATCCCCTCTGAAGTCTGAATTGAGAAATCCCCTCTGAAGTCTAAATTGAGAAATCCCCCCTGAAGTCTGAACTGAGAAATCCCTTGTTATATCGGAACTAAGAAGCTGTCCTTGCCTATCTTGGCTGAAAAATCTGTTATCCTTTTTCAGTTTACAGTATGTCGATGGGGACTCCTGAAATTCCTTTTATCAGTGGATTATGACTTATAATGCGATGGGAAATAACTTAACATCTTTCGGAATGTAATATCACTTCACGTGAACTGAATATCGTTTATATACCATCTTAATGCTTCTGACATCGCTCTAAGGAATTGCGGTATCTCCTTTTTTTTAGATTTCGAAGAAATATCCCCCATCTGGAGTATAGGATAGAAGGAGTGCTGAACTGTGGTCTGTTGTAGTGGAAGTATTTTATATTTGTAAAGACGATAAATTGAGTTACCTGACATGCAAGTTACTAATGAATTCCAGCTATTACGTTATGTTCGCTGACGAATCATTTGTTTCACGTGGAAGTTTATCCACTTTGGCCATACGTGCTAGGGGAACTTTCCTCTTATTTGCTGCCGCGTAACTACTTTTCACTTGCTGAACACTGACGACATCTGCGCCGTCTTTACTGTACTACTCTTATTACGTGTGTACTCGATCCTTGTTGGGAAGCCCTTTAGAGCTCGAAGTCAGATCGGCGCCATCTTCAGTTTTTGTGGAGCAGCCGAACAGGTTCATCAGTCCATCTGTATTTTCGCGTGCCCTTTCAGTAAGGCTTTCAACGAGCTTGTCTGATTACAGTCCCAAGTGTTTCAATTGCACGAGATCAAGGTTTTGCAAGCTCTTATTACAGGTAAGGAATTAGCAACTGCTCGCTATTCTGTCGGGACTTCTTCGTAGGCAATGTTGTGAGTCTTCGGCGTTCTTCGAGAGCCTCGTGGACGTACGGATAATTAGGTACGAAGTGAAATGTTCTTTAAAGGAAACCACGTTTCCCGAAGTCCAGTATGACCAAGTGGAAATGACAAGGTCAGGATTGTCGTGGACAAAGATTGTTCCTTTTTGTGCAGCTGCCTTAAACAGCTTGAATGAAGATGAGGTGCGAGTCGTAAGGGCTGAGTGTTTTTTTGGTTGAGGTGTTCAGATGCTGTTGGTAGCGTCATAACACCTCGAGGGATTCTTGATCACTAGCCACACCGTCGTCATGTGGTTTGAGGGAGCTCGTTGAGTTGACTTTTAAGGTGTTGATAATGGGTGGTGTAGTTTCTCGCCGGAGCAGAACTCTTGGTCGGCCAAACTCTAGGCGACTGCACCCCCCATCCCCTCACTCCCTATTCTCATCACTCTCTCCTTCACGCACACTAGTGATGGACTTGAGGGTTCGAGTTTATGGTGCGCTGGGTGGTGTCACAGGACTATTGTGACTGTCAAAAATTCTACCATTGTTTGAATTGGCTTCTTGTCAAAATCTCATTCCAATGAAAACAGGCCAATATACTGTCTTTTAAAACTGCTGGCCTGTATTTGTTAAAAAGTAGTCTCCTGATGCAGAAAGTGTCCTGTTCTTGTAGAAAGCAAACTCTTTTAGAGTATGATCTCTTGTACATGAAGGGGACTCTTGTCAAACTGTTAGAATCTATCTAATAGAGATATATTCCGCGAATCATGAAGCAAACTTATCGAGACATCGACAAAGATGGGAAAGGGTGCGTAGAACTCTCAATTATGCAAAATCACGGAAGGGTGCATAACCGTCTTTCTAAATTCTATAGGCAAGTCAGTTTAATGCCGGAAGAATCCGAAGATTTGTGGCATGCATACAACCTGATAGCCATTGGTGACTGCGTGACCGCCTCTACTATAAGGTTCGATTTTCTGCCGCGTTCATGGCATCCAAATGTATCTAGCATTAATTTTTTTAACAGGAAAGTCCAACAAGAATCGGCAACAGGCAGCTCGACCAGCAGCCGGGTTCGCACAACACTGACCATACAAGTAGAGGCAATAGACTTTGATACTCAAGCATGTGCCTTACGTTTGAAGGGCCGCAACACCGTCGAAAACCAGTACGTGAAGGTGAGAGCAAATGATGAAGTACAATACTTGTAGATCGTTGCAATTTTCTGAAACTTTCTTTCAATGATGCTTTTGCCCCAGCAAAGATGGGGGCGTATCACACGTTAGACTTGGAGCAGAACCGGAAGTTTACTTTGTTCAAGGTTCATTGGGATTCGGTTGCAATTGAGCGAGTGGATTCCGCCTGTGACCCCACGCAACACGCAGATTTAGCAGCTGTTGTCATGCAAGATGGTTTAGCATTTATTTGTCTAGTAACTTCTGCTATGACCCTCGTCCGCAATAAGGTAAGCTGGTGCGATTGAGACCAAGTCAGTGGCAAGATTTTGAGGTCTTGTCAATTTGAAGGTAGAAGTCCAGATTCCACGGAAGCGGAAAGGCAATGCACAGCAGCATGAGAAGGGTCTACACAGATTTTATGATACGGTGATTCAGGGCATTCTGCGCCACGTCAACTTCGAAGTAGTCAAGTGTGTCCTCATAGCAAGTCCTGGTTTCGTTAAGGATCAGTTCTACGAGTACATGATGCAGCAGGCCATGAAGTCTGACAATAAAGTTCTCCTTGACAACCGCGGGAAGTTTCTCTTGGTTCATTCTTCATCTGGCTTTAAACATGCCTTGAAAGGTGAGAACCGATATATCTCGAGGGAATATTGCCCAAAATCTGCAGTATTTCAAACGAGCGCAATGTAGCAATTTTTTTCTCAAACTGTAACAGCGTAAACTGGTAATTTTCAGTGTCATCATATTTTAATGGGAGTACACTTTTCTATTGTACACAAAGAAAAAATCAGAGAAACATCTGTACAGTACTTTATTGGCGTGCATGTGATGTACAAAGTATTCCCTGAAATTCATTCCTGGAGGGTTTTGTTTACAGAAGTGCTGATGGACCCAGTGGTTACGATGAAGTTGGCAGACACAAAAGCTGCAGGAGAGGTCAAGTCCCTGGAGGCATTTTACGTGATGTTGAAAACGGAGCCGTCAAGGGCGTTCTACGGTTTGAAGCATGTGCAGAAGGCGAATGAGGCGCAAGCAATTGAGACACTCATGGTTTCAGACTCCTTGTTTCGGGCGCAAGAGGTAGGGAAAAGGAAAATCTACGTTGACTTGGTTGACAGTGTGCGTGACAATGGGGGAGACGTTAAGATCTTTTCCAGTTTACACGTTTCCGGGGAACGTGAGTATACAGTGAACAATTGAAGCTTGTTCATTGTATTGGTTCGCCATTGTTTAACTCATGCCCCCTATTTTCTTTTCCTTATGTCAGAGTTGGATCAGTTGACGGGGGTTGCAGCGATTTTACGTTTTCCAATGCCCGATTTGGAGGAGGAAGAAATCAGTGATGAGGATTGATGTTTTCTCTTTTTGGATTCCAAAAATATGTTTGGCATGAAGGAGAGAAATATCTATGAAGCTTTGAATTTGATGAGCTGGGGAAACTTTTTGAATCTTGTGAGGTGGGGTTCAGTCAAACAAACCAATTTGAAACATGAAATAGTCACAGGACTATTGTGACACCAGGTCTAGTGAGGATATTCACACTGGAATAACAGATTTCACGGGACAACTTCTTCACAGTAGAAAAGAGTCCACTTTTTTGTCATTCAAGTATTACAAAGTTTTAACCTCCAGCTTCTGCACTGATCAGATTTGAAAGTGCAAACCTTCCTGAACTGTGGTTTGAAAAGTTGATACAGATGGAGCTCATAACTTGACTTACTGTGAGGACAGTTTGACAATTTGATTGAACAAGTACATCCACATCATAGAAGTACCTTGAGGCAGGGCCAGATTAAAGCAGGTGCTAATGATGCTGCAGCATTATATGGGTTCACCAGGGAATTAATAGGCCTCTGTAAATTAAAAAAAAATCAGCCAACTGGAGCATTAATAATTTAAGAATAAATATGAGGAAACCTGACACAAATAAAAATTTGTAACATGCAAACTGCATATGTTTTTGGTTGAAAACAGGTGTACTCTCATGCCTGCTTCTACTGCTTCCATACGCCTGGATTATTTGCTAGGATTGAAAAAATTTAAAAAATCTATACATTGGTGACTGGCCTAGGAAACACAAGCATGCAGTTCCAGGACTGCGTTTGCTAGGTGGAACATTCTTTGTAGGGTAAGTAATTTTTTCCCTTGAGGACCAATGTAAAATCCACTAATTGGTTCCTGTAAATGAAAACTACTGCTAAAATGATAAAAATTGCCTGAATTTTAAGAAATTCAAAGAAAAATACTTTAGAACACCTGAAGTTTCTTCTGAAGATCTTCCTATTTAAATCAGGTAGATGCTCTCCATTCTGAATGACATATAGAAACTGTACCACTTGTACTTCATGCATATGCGACATCTATGAGCAAAGTAGGAGTCTATCCTCTGTTATGACTATGCATAGATGTCACTTCTGCATGAGGTACAAGCACTGGTTAGACCTCTTGCAATTTAAACTGGAACTATATAGGGCTAACTGGCACTTGGGATTTCCTGAAGTCAAAATATTTTCAAGTCTGTCTGAATTTCATTAGAAACAACATGTATTAAAACCTATCTGACTTTCCCACTTTCCCCTCAAACCTCCATGCATTGGATTCTGGAGTCCATTTATTCTATTATCACAGGAAATATGAAAGACATAAAAATGTTACAATGCCAAATGAAAGCCATAAAAATGAACTTTCACAAACTTTTGAAAGGAAGTGCAGGATCTATGAGGCAAATGAACCTTTGCCTCCAAGTTCTGCATCCTGTCAACTATTTTAGGAAGCAATTTTATGCCTACAGTATCATCAAATACAATTTCCTTCCATTCTTCTCACTTTTCCTCAACAAAAATGAGAAACAACCACTTTTGTTGAGGGGAAGAAACAACAGCATTCACTTATTTTTCAATATATATTTTTAAGGGCAGGCCAGCAAAAATTTGCAAGGCAGGCCAGTGTATGATAGGAAAGTCATTTATTTATTTTTTTGGTGTTAGTTAGGCAGGTTGTTTATTTGCCTGTGCATTTGCTAGGCAAGGCATCACATATATATAGTAGATGACTATGCTTACAAAAATGGTATTGCATGTGTCAAAAATTCTACCATTGTTTGAATTGGCTTCTTGTCAAAATCTCATTCCAATGAAAACAGGCCAATATACTGTCTTTTAAAACCGCTGGCCTGTATTTTTAAAAAATTAGTCTCCTGATGCGGAAAGTGTCCTGTTCTTGTATAGAAAGCAAACTCTTTTAGAGTATGATCTCTTTTACAGGAAGGGGACTCTTGTCAAACTGGTAGAATCTATCTAATAAGAACTCACCACCCTGGAAAGCTTGAAAAATTCTTTGTAAAAACCCTGAATGTATACCTTTTTCATGACATACTAAATGTGAATGTATATTTCATGCATTGACATAAATATACAGTATTGCAACAATAGTTTTTCCAGCAGAATTTGATCCTTGTGTCGTACAGAACTGGCACTCCTGTCTTCATGAACTGGTCAATTATTGTATTTTTGTTGAAGCCTTGCCCTGATCAAAATTAGATGGTTGTATCTGAATAATACAGGCAGTGTCCAAGAAATTATCTTGTCTCCTCAATAAAAAATTGTCATCAAGACCTATACAATACTTTTATTGCTGAACAATCTTGGTCATTCTAAACCCATGAAACCAAATTGTTGGAACCTTTTGAAGCTGATTTCTTGTTTGAAGTATTACAATGCCCAAGTTCAATGAAACTGATGTCAAGCAGGCCTCAGAAGTCAGAAGAGGCACTTGTCAAGCCCACAATTGAATACAACTTGTGAAATGCACTCATTGTCAAACCACATTCAAGAAAATATGCCTGACATTTAAAAGACCCATGGAACATCCCATAATTTCATTTCCCAAATATATGGAGAAATCAGTTTCTCTCACATGGAGTCCATGCTACACCACTTCCTGCATAAGGGATTTATTCCCAAGTCTTGAAGTCACTCATGCGCAGCCACAGAAGAGAGAGTGTTGGCTGCAGAGCGTGAGGGGATGCGGGGTGCAGTGACAAAGAGTTTTGACGACCTAGAGTTCTGCTCCGGCGAGATGGGGCCTCACCGAGGGCTACAGTGTTTTTGTTCAAGTCAAGGGTTGGAGAATCCCAAATTGCTTTTATTGGTATTCCTTTCGATCCTGGTGTGCACTGAATAATTTGCGTATGTGTTGCATATTTGAGCTAGTGAATCTTCGGGTTGCTCCAAAATTATAAATATCTTGATGTCATGTGAGTTCATGCTTATTGTCACATGTTGTTGAGGGCGTTCAGTGTTAGAGAATTGGGGTCTAGTGTACTTTCGCAATGCCAGTGAAACACACTGTGCGTGTCCAGGCGCGTGGCCATTTTTACCACGTTTTTATGAACTCACTTTCTTGTCTGTTTGTTTGTCCGGATCAAAAATGCCCAAGTTCAATGAAACTGATGTCAAGCAGGCCTCAGAAGAGGCACTTGTCAAACCCACAATTGAATACAACTTGTCAAATGCACTTATTGTCAAACCACATTTAAGAAAATATGCCTGACATCTAAAAGACCCATGGAACATCCCATCATTTCATTTCCCAAATATATGGAGAAATCATTTTTTCTCAAATGGAGTCCATGCTACACCACTTCCTGCATAAGGGACTTATTCCCAAGTCTTGAAGTCACTCATGCGCGACCACAGGAGAGAGAGTGTTGGCCGCAGAGCGTGAGGGGATGCAGGGTGCAGTGGCGAAGAGTTTTGACAACCAAGAGTTCTGCTCTGGTGAGATGGGGCCTCACCTGATAATGTGGGTTGATGTTTTCTTACTGTGGGTTTGAGGTGACATCTACAACTGGAACTCGGTTATTTTCAAGTGAATACCCTTAGTGTTTGGCCTTCTTTGAGCTACTGAAAATATAAATTGTTTCAGGGCTTGAAATTTTCTCCACATCGAACTGGGAATGTTCATAATCAGCCCTGAAGTATTACGGGCTTTTAGTGGCGATTATTACATGCAAATTGATAATTGCTGAGTGTTCCAGTTAGTAATACGAGTAAGTGATTCGCCCACGTGAACACTGCTTCTTGGTCATTCGCATGTCCTTTGTTCTACTCCTTCACAGGTTCCATGTGCATTTGAATAAGGTCAATGTATTGGTATCCATTAGAATACCGCTCACTTCACAGCTAGAGGAGTAATTCAAGTCAGTTCGGATAGTGTCGGGAGCTTGGTCGACTGCACCGAATGCCGTGCAACGCTTTTTCGGGATGTTACCGCTTCACGAAATTATTTGGATGAATTCGCGTTGATCATGGTTTTCCGGTTCCGAGGAAGAAGGTTCTGCCTTGCGGTAGTCTGATGAATTGAATATCGGAGAAGTAACGAAGCTTCATGTGCGAAGTGATGGTTTCTAGCATAAATGTTGTGATATGAGAAGTTCAACAAAGATTTGAAGATAGTCCTTACCTTCCATGCGCTTTTCTTTACACCCGACTTTTTTCAAATTACGATTGTTGGCATATTGTTCTTACAGTACTTTCAGGTCTACGGTGGAAAGGATTCCAGAGTCGAAACTGTTTGAAGCAAAGAGTTCCTGCTATGGCGTGGGACGAGCAGATAATGTACTTGCCTTTCCAGTATTATGATTTTACTTCCCCTCAGTCTAGGATTTGTGTGAAATTGAGTTGATTCTAGTTTCCAGGTGATCTTGCTGTGCCATGAGCTTGAATTACGGCTTACAGTCACACGAAATCAATCATGTTCTGAATCGCGTATTTACGATGAAATGGTCTATTGTTGGATGTAATGTTCTTGGTTTCAGGTATGACTTTTGTAGACTCGCGTGTATGAGTTTCGAATTCTAGCATTTTGGAACTGATCATGGCAATTTCGTATTCTTACTTCGTTCTTTTGAAGAAATGATTCTTTCTGCAAATGTTGCGGGCCCCGTGTTGGAATTCTGAAATACTGTACCCCTGAACGATCTTTGAGAGCCATAATCCGGGTTGTCGATGGGGAACGGACGTTTTCGTACAGTCCAAACGTGTGTTGTAGTTCCGTGGATGACGCGGTTTCCTGACGCATTGGTCTAATCCACTCCAGAAAATTTGTGGTATTCAAACCTTTCAGGAGCTGATCATATTAAACTTGTTCCAGGTTCCGAATTTCGTGTGCACCCGACTATATTGGGGAGACCGCGAGATTGACTTGCAGTCCCGACTATGCGTATGGCAGTAGGGGTCATCCCGGCGTGATCCCACCGAATGCTACTCTAATCTTCGAAGTCGAGCTTTTGGAATTGAACTGACTTCGAGTTTCGAAGAACGTCTTTTCATCTTGTGTTTTTTGACTCGTAATCTCAAGTTTCTCTGTGATTTTTCTTGTTGAATTTCTGTGGAAATAGTTTGAAATTATTTTTTTTGTGCCAGTATCTGCTTTAGTTAAACATGAAGGAGTACGCTTTTTTACGTCGAAGTTTCATCGCATGATCGGTTACGGGGCGGAATGGTTATTATTCTTTGGATCTTGAGAACTGAACGCAGCTTCTCCGGATGAGTCGAAATTTGTTCAACGCGACTACTGTGGAAGCATGATCCTAAAGATGCCATTCTCGAACTTGAAGGTAGATGTACAGTATTAAACTGACTGACAATTGTCTGAAATTCCTTGTTAATTTATTTATTTTGAAGCTTTCTGGGTTAGAATGAATGCGTCTCGTTCTGAAATATATCGGCAGGTGTCAAACTGCGGACGTGAATACGATATTGATTTTTGCTTCATTTGACACTTATGTTCAATAAGATCAAGCATTTTCAGGAACCCTCGAATGTCGTGTTACACGTGAAATGTGGAAGAATTTGAGGGGAACAGGAAATTACTTTCTAACCGATTGCGAACGGACCCGCCGAGGGTTGGGAGATGACGTTTCGTGTAGAATTCGGGATAATGTAACAGGTAGTGCGAAAGTTGAAGTTCGCGCATGTTCGGGTGATGAGGACGTTGAGAAACCTCGGAAGAGTTGGTTGTCTTTCTTTTCATAATTTTCCATTCTTTATCCGCATGTCCATGTACGTGTTACGAAATTTCCGCGGTGATCGGATGTTGTTTGAAAGGTGCATTTCGTTGACAGGTGATGACTCTTAGAAACAGAATATCATTGAAAGATTTGTGGAGTGGTACTTAGTCCATCCTCATGTCCGAAATGCTAACTTCATCGGTCAGAGTTCGCAATACGATAAGTTGTATGTTTTTAGATTGAAACCGAAGTTTAGGGTTTGATTAAGAAATCGACGAGAAAACCTTTTTTCATGTTCCTGTCATTTTATGGTGAGCCGTTGTTCGCCTTACTGTACACAGGTTTCTTCGAACGTACTGTTGCGGAGTATTGTGATCTCTTAGGAATTCTGATGGCCTCAACGACAGATGAAGTAAGGGTTCGCTAAGTGTTAGTTTGATAGATGATAACTGTGCGAATTGTTGGAATTGCAGGCTAAGTTCAATGTGGAAGAAGCCAAGGTTCTTGTGACTGAAACTATCGAGAATAATCTGGGAGGCGTTGTTTACAATCCTACAAAGATCAAAAGCCTGACGAACGGCGTTGTGGAGAAGATAGTTACCCAACTTACTCGTCTGAATAAGCCCTTCAAATATATAGGTATTCAGATATTGAAACTCTGAAATTTTGCATGATCTAATGAAAATATTGAATTTAGTGACGTGCTTGATCATGCAAAAAAGCGGGGCAGGCTTGAATTCCGCTAGTTCGTGTTACTGGGACGACAGTTCTGATGGCGTGTGCAATGTTCGCTGGGATAACAAGACCCTCTACTGTATGGTTTCTGTTTACGGGCTAGCAATTTGAATTGACATGTTCGAGTATTGCGTGCTTCACCGACAGGATATGTCGCTCGTCCATGATTTCTGTCCATGCTTTAATATTTGGCTTGTGAATTTGATCTCTCGGCGTTTCCGTTCGGGGTCTGATTAAAGCGTATTCCTTTGAAGTAATTCTGTTGTTCTGGCAGTACGTCTTGTTAAGGGACTGCATTTTGGTCAATCTTGGAAAGGTTGATGATTTGTTTATTCCTTACATGGGGGTTGTTCAATTTGATTAAACTCTCCTTGTTTCTCCAACTTTAATTTTTACAGCGACGGCCTCAATTCTCGCTCATGTTCAACGGACTTATTTGTCTCGTCGAATGTTTTCCACAGATTGTCTAAATCTTTCAAAATCTTACGTGGATTCATTTCGAGACCGAGAATGGACATATGCGAACCATGTGCAGCGCACGAGGTATAGTCGGAATGTGATCTGTACGTCAGATCGTGTGTCCCATTAACAAGCGTCAGATGTCGCATATTCGGTCATGATTTCAAATCCAATTGGTTTCCACTCTTTCAGAAGAATGTTCATGTGATTTAGATTAAAAGACTCCTTTTCTGCTTGAACGAGCAGTTCAATTCTGAGTACTGCCTTCGTTGATCTATCTAGCATGCATGTGGGATGACATTTTAGAATGTTGGGTGATTTTTGTGTGGGGAGGGATTTTGATCTTCATGTTTGCGTGAGAGCTTGATCCATACGCAGGTGGCGTTTTTTTAACTTCTGCAATGGTTATCCTCGATTTTTGGGGACTGATATTTTACATGTCGATTTAGGATTTTTTTCGGTTTTCGTTACTATACTTGAATGTTTTCACGATATTGGAGCTTTTGTTGGCAAGTGTCAGTTCTCATGATCGTCGTTCATTCGATTCGATTGAGAGTTAATATTTGTTCGATGATGAAATTCTAATCGATATGTAACGGTCTATTAGAGGTACAAGAAAGTGAGGCATTTCGTTGAATGAAAGCTTGAGCGTCACATGATAACAAAGTTCTTTCGGAATGTGGTTTAAGAACACATGTGAGCAGATGAATTTCTGTAGCTGTTTATTTTCATGATCAGTCTTCAACTCATCGCTGTTATCTACTAATCTTGTTTTTGAGCATATACAAATTACCGATCTTAAGTTCGTGTTCAGATATGTGCTGAACAGTATGCGTTGTGCATATGAGAGGGATCAGAACTCCTGTAAAACATGGCTGGAAGAGAAATTGAGGACGTAGAGAAACCTCGAAATATTTCCAGTAAGCTACCTTATTTTGTGAGATGGGAAAATAAGAAGAGTTCAGTACTGTACAGTCCTGGCTCTAAAACGGAATAAAAAAGAATGTCAGCCTGGAGTGACTTGAGGACGTTGAGAAACCTCTTGAAATTCTTTCAGAAGTTGTCGGCTTCATTTCATATCCGGTGCAAATCCATCAGTGCCGTGCTACGCAGATATGGCAATCTACATTTGCTCCAACATGGTGTTCAAACGTTTGTGTATTGAATGGCACCAATCTCCTCATTGCCGACAATTTTATGGCATTTTCCATCTTAAGTCGAGAAAATTTCACGTGTGCTTGAACGAATTTACTGTAATGAAGAGTTGAAATGGCGGAAGTGAAAGCCTGCGTGTGATGCATAAAAAATTGGGAACGATTGGAGGACGCAGAGAAACCTCTGAATTAGTTGTATTTATGATGTTCAATGCATAACACTCACAATCAATTCTGAATACCGTATACATTTTTATAGATTTATTGAAGCTATTCCACGAATTTTATTTCATTGTGAGTGATGTACATCAGCTTCTACTGTATTTACATGAAGATAAATGTTGATGGCGTAAAAGTCGATTTAAAAAAAATGATAAAGTATGACCTTCAAAGAAAGTATGAGGATAACCTGTCCCGGGATGGTGCTTTGCTTTGGGGCTGTAGATCTCTGGACACTCATCAGAACCATTGACTGGTACAGTACAGTTTCATTAAAATGGATCTTTTCTTAATATTTCTTGGTCCCAGCAGATTTTTCATGGGAACAATTTTTTAAAATTCCGTTTTTACAAACTAATTTCCAGTAATATTCTCAGTATATTTCAGTTTTCGTTTGATTAAACAGGCAATAAAAATGTTTAATGATTGATGAAACAAATTTGAAAATCCAACTTCAGCATTCAAAGAATGACGCCGAAGTATAGGAATTATAATTTTAATGTGCGGTAACTTTAGCATGGTTGTAGTAAGTATGAAACATGATACTCATCGGAATAAATGTACTGTAGTTCTATTTTAGAATTAGAGTTACTTGTTTCTTTTTTCGTGCATGGTATGTTGGAAATTATATTGCTATATTATGGAACATACCGTCATGAAAGGAATTGAATATTTTTGTACACATGCTTTTTTGTTGTTCAGTGTACGTTTCCCTAAGGTCAGTTCATTTTTAGGAAATAATCTAGTCTATCTATAGTCTAAAATAATATATATTAAATTTGTCAATTTAAGTTCATCAAACAAATCGGGAATGATGAAAAATCTTCAAGTACCTGTTGTGGAGGATTTTCATAGAAATTAACACATGTCTCCCATAGAATTTCAATCTTGAACCCTGCGAGAACCCTGACATTTTTCTACTACACTGTTAATTTTAAAGAACTTTCACTGCCCCCCTATGAGTTTGTTTCTAATAATATTTTAGAATAGAATATTCTGATGAATTGCATCACTTGAAAAGCAAAGTACAACATAGTCTCTCAAGCCAGCCTAGACGGAATTCATGGTAGAAACTACAGCCGGAATACCGAGATGTGAAGCCGTTCAGAATAAAAGGAGATCTATAAATTCAGTTGGAAATAAGAGATCAATTACATAGATATAAGCCCCCCTCTCTGAACAGAATGCAGGTAGACTTTCTGTAGTAATTCTTCATATTTGTGCCATTGCTTCAAAAAATTTAGTGATGTTGGCAAACTTGCACTGCTGTGTCGTATGATTTCTTGAAGTCCGATTTTTTATCATTTTCTTATAGGATGACTCGGTTTGAAAAAAATGTGTGCGGCAAAATGTCTCTTGCTTTGCATGAAAGAAAGTTATTTGTTCTCTTGCCCATTGATGCATTCCAATGTCTTGCTGACTGATGGCACATATCCCCATTGTTTGGGAGCATTATTGCAAGTCTGTCTGTATACTGGATTCCTTCTTTTTCAAATCAGAAAAAAAGTGTGGGTCGAGTATGGTATTTGTTCTCTTTTATGAATTTGCATCATCTTATTGATGGACCCCTTGTTGTGCATCTGCCATGGCCATAATACTTGATAATTTACTCATTTCGGTGCGCTTATCAACTTAGAAAAGTGCCGGAAATAATGCAAATAATGTGTTCTAAGATGGTGAAGCAATTTTTCTTGAAAATATTGAAGACAAATTCGCACTTCAATACATCCTTATCTTTGTGAGTACGTCCTTCAAAGCTATACTTAAAAAGTGATTCTACTGAACAGAAAAACCCTTGCCCCTGAATGATCAACCCGATTTCTTGTATCTGAATGGGGAAATCCCAATATCTTAGTGAAGAATCCCCGAAACCTTGGGGGAAATGCCTTGCATCTTCTAAAAATATTTCATGTATCCATGGGAATTCAGCCTGTGTGAATGAACCGAAATGATTTATTCCTGATATCTGAATGGAAAATCCTTTATCTAACACCTCAATGGAATGATCATGAACTATTTATTGTTCGAAAATAGAATATGGCTTTTACTTCATGTTGTTCGATATTATTCTTGATCCCAGAACAAAATGGCTTGCATCTTGAAGCGATATCTCCTCTACCACCGAATGCTGTATCACAGTCATCGAGATGAGAATTTCATTACATCTGAGTGAGATATTTGATCCAGTTGTCTATGCAGTAGTATAAGAGCATTGGAAAAAGTGAAAAATTTCAGATTCCCATTGTTTCAAGTTGTTACTATCCACACAGTCTCTTGAGACTTGCACTTGGATAATTTCATTTATTTTATGGGATTTTCACCAATTAGAAAATCTAACAGATTTTAGCTTCCTATTGTTTGATACTCTGAGGTGGACATGTTTCCTATCCAACATGCATAATGATGAGTCCCAAGGAATGTGGTATTTTACAAAAATCTGAAAGGTAATTTGTTATAACCAGAGAGCCTGTAAAAATTTCTAAGAAACAACCGTAATTGAAGTTGCACCCTGAGGGACTGAGGGTAGCTGCTGGAACTTCGAAATTTGTATGAGGTTCATTGTAACAAAAATCTAAATCTGAATAGGAGAATTGCTCCTGGATAAAACGAGAATTTCTTGCATGTGAAAAAATCCAAATCTGGTCTGAAAAATCGATTGTATCCGAACTGAAAGTAATCTATCCTTCTATTCTGTTTGTTGATGGGAAGTCTTGGGATTGCTTGAATTTCAGAGGGAAACCACTTGAAAGCAAAGAGGAATAGCTCTTTTTTTTTGGAATTCAATATTTCTCACGTGTGGATTAAAAGTCTCCCACATCTAGGTAATTCAATATACCTTACATCAAATGGGAAGTCATACGGACCAATTTAAGTCTTTCATGAACGAACAGGACTCAGTTCAAGAAGTCCAGATACTGTATCTGAGCCAAAAATCCCTTACAAGAGATGAAAGCCTTTATATTGGACCAAAAATTCCTGTGTATCTGAACCAAAAAATGTCTTGAATCTGAGCCGAGAAATCCCTTACATCTGAAACAAAAAATATCTTGCGAACGAACCAAAATACCATGCATATCCGAACCCAATCCATATCGAAGCAGAAAACCCTTGATATCAGAACTGGAAATTCCGTATATCTGATCAGAAACCCCCTCTTATTGGAAAGAATTTGTCGTACCTTTTAGAATATTGTGGCATAAAATACGCTATACTGGACTGTTTTGGGGAATGAAACTCTTTTATCGGGAAAGAAAAATACTATGAGAAAAAAATCTATCGAACCGGGAGGATCTGAACAACACTTAATATCTGAACAAGCTACCAAATATACAACAGGGCAGAAAATCTTAACCGGGAAATAAAAATTCATTATTCTATATCTGGAATGAAAATCCGTTGTATAAGAACAGAAAGTCTCAAATCTCAGTGGAAATAATTTATTTATGGTCAGAAAATCTGTTATATTTGAGCAGATATCCCTTTGCACGTGCACAAAAAATCCCTTCACATGTATGAACTGAAAAATCTCTTCTGATGACTGAACTGAAAAATCCTTCATGACGATCTTTAACCAAAAATCTATTGTCTGAACTGAAAACCTCTTATCTGAACAGGAATCAGAATCTTCAAGAAAAACCCCTTGTACTGTATCGTAAAAGACGAATCCCTTATTTCGGAAAATGAAAATCCCCTACATCGAGACAAAAATCTCTTGGGCAGTATTGAGGAAAAATAACCTGACATTACGGAAAGGAATCGTACACCGAGACGAATAAATCCCTTACATTAAAATAGAAGGTCACGTCACAGTGGAAATCATTCACTTATCCGGTCAGAAAATCTTGTGTCGAGGAGAAAACCACTCATAGTTGAAAAGAGTTCCTCATATGTCTGGAAAGAGAATCCTTTTATATCTGGACAGAAAACCCCCTATATTTGAAGAGAAAAATCAATTCCCTGTATGTCGAAACAGAAATTCCTTCCGGCGTTGGCACTGAAAAAGATTTCCTGAACAAAAATCCCCTAATGCCTGAACTAAAACATCCCCCTTTATGATCTGAAATATCCCATCTGATGTCTGAACTGGAAAATACATTCGGATGTCGGACGTCTGAACTGAAGAATCCCTTCTGACAATCTTGAATTAAAAAAGCCGTCATAAATCAACCAAAAATCGTTATGAATAAGCAAAAACATCTGCCACATCTGACCTGATGAATCTCTATCTGAACCGGAAACCCGTTCATGTCTGAAGGGGCAAAAGAATATCCAGGTCAGACTGAATACCTGTATATGGAAATGATAATCCGTTATGCGAAAAAAATATTGAATTTTGAGGGCAAAATCTCTTGCATTTGACTGGAGAATCACAGATCTCAATGGAAATAATGTATGACTGGTCATAAATCCATTACCTAAACAGAGAACCACTTATATGTGAAAAGAAAATTGCATAAATGTGAAGTGAAAAAACCTTTGTGTGAAGAGAAACTACCTTTCGTTGTCAGGAGAAAATATCTTTTACTGTACCTGAACAGAAAATCCACTTACACCTGGATAGGAAGCCCCCCTATACCTGACCAGAAAACCATCCAGTATTTTCAGGAGAAATATATCGCGAAGGCGAAATTCCTCGGATTGGAATGGAAAGTCTTGAATCTCAAGTGAGTGGAAATCAATCATAATTGTTCAGATGATACAGTAGATCGTTATACAGTATGTGGAAAGAAAAGCCTTTGTATGTGACTGGAAATCCCTGCTGAAGTCTGGACTGAAAAATTGCTGATTACAATCTTGGCCCTTAATACCTGTCGTATGTAAACCAAAAAATTCCTCATGAATGAACCAAAAAATTCCTCATGATTGCACCGAAAAATTGCTCATGAATGAACCAAAAAATTTCTCATGAATGAACCACTAAATTCACCATTTTTAACTTAGAAATCCCTAATACCTGAACAGAAAACTCCTTTATATACGAACAAGCTGCATAATATCCAGCACAAACAAACTTTTCATGTTGGGAAAGAAAAACCTCGTGGATAAGACGTGATGTCACAACCCGCAGTGGAAATCATTTATTTCTGGTCAGAAAATCTGTTATATCTGAGGAGAGAACGCCGTATATCTGAACAATAAACCCCTTATATCTGAACAAATGCTGTAATCTCTTCTGAAGTCTGAACTGAAAAAACCCCTTGTGATGTCTGAACTGAACAGTTGCTTTTGACTATCATGGCTGAAAAATCTGTTTCCTTCCTCGGTGTATGTCGATGGAGCGTATGCAATGGGAAATAACTTCACATCTATTGGAATGAAATATCACTTCACCTGTACTGAACATCGTTTGTATACCATCAGAATACCTTTTACAATTACATTGCAATATGGAGGGAATACTGTATCTCTTTTTTTCTAAGATTTCCAAGAAATATCCCCCACCTGGAATATGAATGTAGTACTGAATTGTGGTCTGCGTATAGTGAAAGTATTTGTTTGTTGCAACAATGAGTTGAGTTACCTGACATGCAAGTTACTTGTGTATTCCAGTTATTACGGTAAAAGCTGTTGTTGCACTGTCGAGTTCGCATAATGTGTCTGTTGTTAATCGGAGTGGTTTTTTGGAGGTATGTTTTGAACTTGTTTGAGAAATTCACATTGTTCTCAGAAGATTCTTGGAACCTCGATTTCAAAGAAGATCGCAAACCCTGAATTCCACTATTACTTTGGCATTGAAGCAAGTACAGAATGAACTACGAATTTATTTGAGGTGGTAGAGGTTCAGAGAAGTTATTGTGAAGCTGGTTGGAAAGTTCTTAAACAAAAAATCTGTAAATGGTATTGCTTTGTTTTCAGAATGAGTTATTTTCAGAATTGTTATGGTTGGCTTTGGAATTCAGGATTCAGATGTGGTTTGATTCATCACAGCAACGAAGAACCGCATAGAATCCGATGTTTTGGTATCAAAAAGCAAAAAATAAGTCTTGCTAGAATATGCAAAGTTGATAAAAAAAAAACCCAAAAAAGTAGCACAAAATCAGCTTCCTTTTGATCATGAATTGGATTGAATTCATCATGATATAATTTTGTGAATGTAAATACTGTACTTGATTTCTTCAGAAGATATCAACATAAAAAATGAATTGTTTTGATTTTTTGGGAACATTCCAGAGAAGTGTCCGATTGAACTCGGTTACAGGACACCCGGACTAAAAAAGCAAAAAGTACACAGTTTACCAGGCGTACACCCCCACAGGTGTATCACCCCAGAGTGGCATGAAGAAACACATGTGATGGTATAAATGGCCTAACTAGGGTATACAAAATCGTCAGATGGTCATAAGAGTACCTTACCTCATAACCTTGTTTGAGTCTAAATGCGCTTTCAGGGACTTAACATCACCTTTACTTAGTTGTCATAACCTGGTAGTAAGTAGAATTTGTCTACGCACGTCTTCGTGAGCCTCGAAAACATTTTTTTTTGAAAAAAAGAGAAGATTCGTGATCTAAACACGAGAACGTTGAATTATTTTCCTGCTCAACAACAAGCCCCGTGGGAAAAATAAGATTCCAGGAACCAATTCATATCCCCTGAGTTTTGCGTACTTGATTTGCTGGAATACTGTATACTAAATTGAACTAATTTTTGTGATAGTTCAATCCTTCTTTGAAACTTCGATTTGAATCCGTTTCTGTGTGTATCAAACTGTTCAGTTATTGCTGTAATCATATGGAAAATGAGAATTCTTGAATCAGTGTATTCGCTCTTCCTTTGCGGATGTATCTCAGTAGAACACGTTATTTAGGCTGAACATATTCTGAGTGATGCACTGGTTTCGTGATATTGAGGGCTTGCTTGCTTGAATTTTGAGAAGTCATTCACTCTTGATTTTTTTTTCGAATAATCCTCTCAAACGTTGTCCTACTTTACAATTACTGTACATGAAACACTGAAAAATACAATTGACACAATGCGAATGTTTAAATTTGATGGTTGAATTTCTGTACGTGATCAGAGTTTCAACATTACACTTCTCTACCTCTTGTGATGGGCAAAGAAAAATATATAAATTTGATCAGAAAAATTACGAAGGATTATTGGAGGGGTTTTTGACCGAGAACAGAAGGAATGAGCAAATGTTGAGATGACTGATTGTTGTTCAAATCTTGAGTCAATCTCGTT